CTGACAGCAGGAGCGAGGTGCTGGGAAGGTGTGTGGCCGGGGTCAGGCTGGCCCTCTGGGTGCTGCTATGATGGGCTTAGCCCTACGCAGTTCTTATGTTGGCATCGTAGAAGAAAAGAAGGCTCTGATGATGGTCCTAGTTTCCTGCACCCTTGGCCATGTCCTGCCCCCTCTACCCCACAGCAGCAGGTGGCGGGACCCTCTGGAGCAGAGCTAGCACAGGCAGGGCAGCAGGTTCCCAGCCCAAAATGGAAGGACTTTGGGACAAAAAGAAAGTGAGAAGGTGCAAATTCCTCCCCTCCTTCCACACCAAACAGCTGATTGTGCTCTGACTACACACCAGCTGAGCAAAGTACCCATGAACGCTGTAGCAGAGAGAGGTTCACCTGACTTGTCCCCAACCCAAGTGCTTGCCATGGCCATCCCAATGCCAATGACCACTTGACTGTGCCAGCGCAAGGGTGTACATGGCCACCATCCAAATGGGAAATGACAGAGTGTCAAGGGTGTTGCTGAAGGTAGCAAGGTGTTGGAAAACAGGGACTGCAGATGGACAGGGGTGCACAGCAGGGTGGGTGCCTGGGGCACACCCGGGTGCTGGGGGCGAGAAGAGGCAGGGCATGCGACAGGAGAGGGTCGTCCACGCTCACCCTTCCCCACGCTGCAGGCACCTGGGACCACAGCTGCCCCTCCGCCTGCAGCTCTGCTGCACAGCCCTCCGCAGAGCCCTCCCCACGCCGCTCCGGCCCTGGATTCAATCATCCCTCGATTACACACCGTTTGCTTCTGTTGACAGCACATTTACTTGCACTTGTCAAGCACGCTGTAAATAGTGAGAGAAACAGCCCTGCCCTTCCTGACCACAGGAACGGCCAGGAAGGGGCCGGCCAGTCCCTCCTGGCCACGCACCCGCCGGAATCCACATTCCCAGCACCGGAGCCAGCGCTGCCAGGAAGGGCCGGGGCTCAGGATCAGTCCACGCCTGCTCACACCGTCAGCAGCCATGGGAGAGAGACTGGTGGCCAGGCTTTGGAAAGTGCTGAGGATCCACCATGGGAAACAAGGGGAGCGCCCATCCTGGACTGCCACGGCCCAAAGTCCACACCACCAAGTGTCCATAATTATTTAGCTTAAGGATAATCTACATCTTTCAGACACAGCCAGCCATCATCTCCGAGGTAATCTCAGGTCACGGAGTCAGAAGGAAGAGTAATCAGCCGTTCTGAGTGTGGAAGACACAAAGAAAGAAGCAGTGAGAATCAGATGGTCGTAGCAGGTTGGTTATAAGCAGGGTGTTGTGGCATTGATCTTTGCCCTGGCAGACAAAACAGCTGGAGCAGCTCCAGCCTCATCCTTGCCCCTGCTCTGCAGTCTACCATCTCTTCGATCGTGCTAATGCAATTCATCATGGGCCCGGGCTGGAAACAGGAGTGGTATAGCAATGCAGGGTTAAAAAAAATCACCGTGCTCTGCACAGATGGTCATTATTCGGCCCAAGGAGGCAGCCTCGCTAACTCGATTAATTCATAAAGCTGCTCCTGCTGTAATCACATTGCTGCCAGTGTGGTTCTTCACCAGGGCCAGCCCACCTCCAGGCTCTATGCCTCCCATTTAGGGATGTTTGTTGCCAAGCTGGTGATGTGTTTCACAGAGCAGGAGGGGCAAGGAGTAGCCTCCCAGGGCAGACCCAGACCTGAGGACAAGAGCAGGGAAGGCTCTGCAGGTGGAAATATCCATAGAACAACTGTGACCTGCTGCAGCTGCCAGGGCAGGTTCATCACTTGGAGAAGTTCAGCCAAGTCTTACAGTGGTTGCAGAGAAGCCACTGGACCCCCACGGCCACCACATTTCCTGAACACCAGGGCTGGACCACACCGACAGCCACAGTTATCACCAGAGCTCCTCCGGCACAGACTCTGGCAGGAACAGCCCATTGGGAGCATGACTGGACGGTCACAGCTGTGTGCCTCATGGCCTTCTCTATCTACACTCCCAGAAGTGGATGCTACATGCACCATATGCTGGTATCTCCCAGAAACTAGCAGCTTTGCTCTGAAACGAGCAGCTCTGAAGCAGCAGCCATGCTAACACAGACCCCATACAGGCTGCATCCTCCAGGATTGACACCGTCCTCCCAGGAGACATTCCTGGAGGCAGCGACAGCTCTGCAGAGTCATATCCCTGAGCTAGAAGGACCTTTCTGCCCTTATTCGGGCACAGCTCAATGCGCCTTGAAAACAAAAGAAGTGACATCCCAAAGCCCAATTATTTTTGATTTCCCACAGCTCCAAAAAGTTGGCACCATGCAAATTTCCTCTGTCAGTTCGGCCAATCCAGCCTCTCCCCTGCACCAGATGTGCCCGTCCTGCTGCGGATCCTCTGCCCCATTGCAACTCTCTGTTCTGGGAAGGACACAGGGACAGCATTCACAGCACAATTAGCATGTTGAAGAGACAGTCATTCCCAGCTCACATGCTGGCGCAGCAGCCGCAGAGGCTGCTGAGGAGCTGCTCTCTGCTCACAGTGTCCCTTTCTCTGGTGCCAGCACACAGCTGGCACATGGCACATCTCTGCCTGGCACCAAGGCTGCACCAGCCCTTCGCTCCCATCGCATGGCAAAGCCTGCATACCCTCAGCCAGGCTCCGGCTGCATTGAGATGAGCTGCCTCTTGACAAGTTGGAGCAGTTTTGAAGGCTCTGCAAATCAGATTCCTGTTTGGAGCAGAAATCAGCCCCACAGAGGCTGATAATTCCAGCTTAATTTGTCTGTTCACAGAGCACAGACACTGTTCTGCTTCCTTAAATAGCCCTAGTATCAAACAAGCAACAAGCAAAGCTAATGATCAGTTCTCCCTTGCAAAAAGTGACTGATATTCCCAGCTCCTGCCTCCCGCTGCACCGGCATCCCTGGAGACATCTGCCCTGACAAGTCAGCTGCAGTGCAGACCGGTCACAGCAGCCCGAGTTGCAGCTCACCCGTGTTGGGCTTCTGCCCACAGCCAGGCCCCGTGCGCAGCCGCCCACCCTGCTCTGAGCTTCTTGCACTTCGAGATCAGATTTGCTTTAAAATCACATCCTGGGTAGTTTATACCTTGCTGGGACGGGAAATGGCGCTATGAACTCAGTTAAGTGACTGGTTGATGCTCTCACACTCCTTTTCTCTACCCTGGCCCCATATCCCAGCAGTGGGATTCCCATCAGCTTTGGAAAGCCAAGACAAAACTCCCTTGTCACAACCTTGGTGGGTCCAAGCTGGCTCTCCACTGCACCCAAAGAGGACCCTCTTGGCTACTGAGGCACAGAAAAGCCTTAAAAAGGTTTGTACTGTCTTCTAGAGTTTTTTTTTATCACCTGTCCAGTAGCCAGGTACCTTCAATAGTGCAGGGAGCAGACACTCTTCAGGGCTTTGCTCTGAGCCACAGGGCTTGTAAGTCTAGCAGAGTGCCAAAATCCCACACCCTGCCATGAACACAGAGCCTGGCGTGGGGAGGGTGAACGGCAATATCACCCAAAAGGTCCCAGAGCACATTTCATGACGGAGAGCTGCCAAGATACCCCTTTCCAGGAGCTATTTGAGATGCTCTGATTTGAACGTGTGACTGCAGAGCTTCGCCCCAGAGGAGCCCCCAGCTCACGGCTGGATCACAGCCCGCTGAGAGCAGAGCCACGCCAAGCTCCCAGCAGTCGCCCCATCACACGCAGCCCCCAGCACCAAGCAGCCTGGGACCCTCTGCCCAGCCGCGTGATGCACCGCAGGCTAAGGAGACACAGCAGAGTCTTGTGACCCCACCGAATCAGCTGCCCGGGGCTATTTGCATTTCGAGAGGTTTGGCTGTTAACTAGGTTCTCAGGCTTTTTATGTTGTTGCTATTTTAGTCCATCTGAAACGTGCAGGAAAAGGAATCCGGAGGCTCTGTCTCCCGCGGAGATGTTTGTGTTGACCCAGTTTGGGACGCTGCAGAGCAAAAGCCACGTTGCTCTGCCTCCAGATCCAGGCAGCAGCACAGCCACCTGCTCCTGCTGTTGCCCACATTTATGGCGAGTGAGTCGCCTGCCTTTGAGCCAGACCGGACCACACACCAAGGCTGCATCCACACACTGACGTGGGGCAGGAGCTGCTCCACCACCATGCACCAGCCAAGGGGAGGTATCTGCGTGGGTTTACCCCCAAAATCCCCATCTGCCTCACTTTAAACACTCAGCACAGGATGTTTCTCTTCTCCCAGGGCAGTGGATCACCCACCAACGGTCCGAACCTGTCCCCGGATGATGCGATCTAGCAGAGATTGACTGTCCCAGAGCTCCTTGGTGGCAGCCCCAGCCCCGAAGCCAGGCAGACAGGAGATGTTAACAACATCCATGCAGGGCAGGCGTGCCCGACAGCTCTTCGAACCCACTCCACACACACGTTTCTCTTGCCAGCACTGCTGCGACAGTGCTCTCGGCCGTGGCTGAAGCTCTTCATTGTGGGAAAAGAGCTGATGCTGCCTTGCTAGGTATCAAAAACAGCACTCATCAGACGACCTTTCCGTGCTTTGAGGCCATCTGTGGGGTCCAGATCAAACGCTTCAGCCCATCTGAGTGCACAGAAGGGGCACATCTCCACACCACTGCTCCCATGACCTCAGCCTTTTACTCAGGACCCAGAGATCATGGCCTGCACCTCTCCCTCTGCACTCAGTCCTGCCCTAGAGCCGAGCTCTCGGGGAAGGCCGTACGCTGGGTTGCACGGACTCAGCTGTCCAAATACAGATGCTGGGAGGCGTCAGAAGCAGCCTGCTCGCTGGAGTCTGCCTCGGCACAGGTCAGTGGATGCAAACGCAATAACTGCTCCCCCGAGCAGGGCAGAAGCTGCAGACGCAGCAGTGCCTGAGTACAAACTGGCTCCTCACCCGGCAAAACACCAGCCTCCAGAGCATCCCCGGAGCAAAGCCCCTGCTGCAGGCAGAGCCCTGCGGTGCTCTGAGCAGGGTTTTCGAGCTCCCCCATGGGTCGCTTACCTTGTTCTCTGTAGGAGCTGATGCCGGATGTTGCTGCTTGGTGATGTTCTCAGCCAGACACCAGCAGATCCTCTTCTTCTGCTCCTGGGAGTAAGCCTCCAAACTTAATAAGCACTCCGACTTCTGACGTAAAGGAAACACAGGCAGAGAAGGTCATTAGCTGTGTGTCGCAGGCCCTGGCTTCGTTTGCAAACTACTTTCTTCCAACACACTGTATCAGATGAATGTAAGTCTAACAGGAGAGCTCACACCAGTGTCCTGCGCCCTGGGCATGAGAAAGCAAAACAGATGGGAAATCAGCTTCATAGGGAAATCTCCAGACCGAGGGTGAAAGGCTGCTGTGGTGCAGAGCTGCAGACTTTGCTTTAGTACGTGGGAGCAGCGTGGTAAGGCACAGCAGAGCACCAGCACCCTGGGCCACCATAGTGGAAGCGTGTCTATTTAGCTAATCTAGAGGGTGGAAATTGCTCTTTGCTGCATGCAAACATAGTGTGAACTGATGAACGTGAACGCCTTTGGGCTGGGAGGAAGGCAGACCTCAGGAGAAGCTCCAGAGCAGCCTTGCCTGTTGTGCTCCTTCCACAGAGCATCATATAGCACCAGGGGCTGTCGGGAGGGTGATGCTCCAGCTCCAGTCACACACTGTGAGCAACGTGCAGGGAGGAAGGAACTGAGAGAAATGATGGGAATTCCTCCCAGCTGAGCCCATCTCCCCTCAAGCCCTAGCCCCTTCCCTGCACACACCCTTCTTGACAGGGACCTGTTTCTCCTTGATGTGTTTTCTTTGGGCCAAATCCAACTCATTTAAGAAACCTTCTGACCGAGTTCTCTCAGTGAGTGTCTCCCAGCCCTTAAATTGCTCATCTCTTGTGTTAAAAATTAAGCATTAGTAGCATTTGCTGCCCACCGGGATTTTTAAGGTCTTGCTTTAAAAAGAGTCCATAAATGCCCATGGCTGGATCATCTCCTTCTGTGGCCAGATATGAAAATAATTTTTTTTTTTTTTAACAAACAGAACTTTAGGACAGAATTGCAAAGAAAAAAAGAGTCTTCCACTAAAGGGCATGAAAAAAGCCTTTCATTTCCCCCTAGGATTTCCTTCCAGAAGGGCAGGTCTCCGCTAGCCTGTTTTTCCCAGAAAGGTCAAAGAGAACTAAGGAACTTGCAGCTTTGTGACTCCAGAGACACAACACAAGCAAAAGGGGAAATGCTCTTTAGTCACACCACTTAAATTACTGTTTTCACTGGATGCTAATTCATTCACATTTAAGCCAAAATCCCTATTAGAGTGATAAATAAACTAATTTCCCACGTCACCTCTAGAAAAAGAGATCTCTAGTTCATGCCTTTGTCCCTCCAAGAAGACTTCCAGGAAAGAGAAGATTTGAGCTTTCTTATGTCTCGACATCACCACTTCTGTTCCTACAGCAGAAACGGGCTTAAACATTGAAAATGCATGCTCAGGTTTACCGAGCCCTATCAAAATGGAACAGAGGTTTGTGGTTCAGGGACACAAGGTGGCTGGGCTCCCCCTTGCCCCCCAGATCCTGAGACGCAGTGATGCTCTGAACATCTCCTGGAGTGTCAGTGCTCTTTCCCATCCCAGATATCTCAGTCTCTCCCAGTCCCATACCAGCAGATCACCAGGCTGTACCACTGTGATAGCTACTCATTCTTAGGAAGGTACCTAATAGTTCCTACTTTCAGAGGAGAGGAGGGGTACCAATCTGCCAGGCTGGCATTTCCCTGCCCTACACTTGGGGCCAGAAGTGAACAAGAGCGAGGACTCAGCAGAGCCTGAAAGACATTAGGGCATCTGCGAGGACTCCAGTGCCCACACTGTTGCTGTAACTACAGCACACTCCCTGCAAGCGAGTGAGGCTTAAAGCAATTCCAAGGGCATCTCATATCCCCTTGCTCGTGACGGATGCACAGCTCACCTACCCCTGCTCTGCAGCCCCTTGCTGATTCAATTACAGTCCCATCTCTTTGATTGGATTTAGCATCCAGTGGTGCTCAGCCCGCACCGGCTGTTGAAAGCAAAGTGCCTCTCTCCCTCCCGCTCAACCTCAGCGAGGTGGCGAGACTCCCGGCCCCAGCCTCCTGGGAATATTAAAACCAAGAGAGGAGATTGCCCTCTGGTGCAAAAGTCAGAGGAGAAAGTCACCTGCCCCGATGTGTGTCCTGGGTATTGCAGGCAAGGGTGAGGGTGGACATGAACAGCCAAAATTGCATTATCCAATCTGTACATATTTTACTATTTTTCTATGCTACAGCAGTGAGGTCTCAGCACTTTATTCCTTCACAGTGGTATTTAACCTCTCGAACACACATTTCCCAAGGGAAGAGCTCTGTTTCTCCCTCTTCCATCAATCTGCTTCCCCCAAATAACATGCAACTGAGTGGGGCAAAGAAGCAGCATAACCCGCAGAGGCTGAGCACATCCCAGCTGCCTCTAAAGCACAGGTTCCTGCCTGCAACGTCCTTTGTGATGCAGCCAGAGGTCAGGCGTGTGAAGGACTGGCCATTACACGGGATAAGGCTCTACCAGTGACAGGTTCCTGGACCTCAGTCCCTGACGGGGCACCGAGCTGCCTGTCCCCGCACTCTGCACAGCGGGGAGGCTGGAGCAGGGAGGTGGGCGAACACGGGGGCTGCTCCATGCCCTGTGCACGCTGCCTCGCTCGGGGCTCGCTCTGGGAACCGGCCTCCCCGCTATTGTTTTCATTCAGGGAGGCTGCAGCTTCGCCTGCCAATATTTACAAAGAGAAACCAGGGCTTAATCTCACAGTGCTGGGAAAGGAGGATGCAGATGGCGTGAACGGGGCGTTTGCGACCAGATAAAGCGAGCAACTGAAGTGGCTGCCAGTAGCTTTCCAACTGCCTTCAACCCAGCGTTTCGAAAAACATGTTATTGCAGGTGCTGTGTGCTGACTGGCACGGGAGCCTCCGGTGAGCCCGTGACTCCGGGGCAGTGCTGGACCCCTCACCAGCACGAGACTCCACGCCAGTACTGCCCGTGGGAGAGCAGGAGGAGAACATGGGGCATGTATCGCAGAGAAGAACCCAGACTAGCCAACACCAGCCCCAGATGGGCCCTATTGCAACAGGAAAAGGTCCCTATTGCTCCATGGGAAAAGTTCACCCCTGCAGATGCTCCCCCAGGCTGAGCCCCAGCCCCAAGGCAACCAGGGGCATGGGGAGATGACAGGGAAGGGGTCCAGCCAGGCAGAGCTCCTGGTTATGCCAGCAGACTCCAAGAAAAGAGGGACTGTTGGCTCTGTAAGCCCATCAATCAGCCCAGGACCCCCCAGAGAATGGCAGCACACTGCAGGAAAGGCCCTCAGTCCTTACACACAAAGACCCCAAGCTGCAGACATGCCCCTGTGCACAGCACCCAGCACAACAGCAGCTGATACACACATGTGGCTCTGCATGTCACTGCAAAGCAAAGATACAACAGCAGCAATGAGCCAGACTCAGCCCGACACCTCCAACACCTTGAACTCAGTGACCAGACCAGCCTCACGGTTGTCCTCATCTCACTGCTGTTTCCCCCAGCTTCTGCCAGCAGTCATGATTCCAGGGGTGGTCAGGTCCTTGGGTGGATGTTCCCCCTGCAGACCACGGGGATCCACTTCTGCTCCTTTCCCCAGGCTCCTCGCAGGGTTTGTGACAAAGTGACTGAGGGACAGGGCTCACAGCCCAGCTCAGCTCTGCCTGGCCCCCAGCCTCGAACATTCAGAGCATTGATCCGTAGCCAAATCCAACAGAGATCCCAGAGGGGAAGTACCTCGGAAATGGGCTCCAGACTACAATAGCTTTTAAATCGCAGAGCAAACCTTCCACCGGTGAAACAGCAAGGCCTGGGAATATCCTGTGCACAAAACATGGGCAATGGCTGGCTGCTTATTTCATGACCCACGGAGCTAGGTCTGGTGAGAAAGTTCAGTTTGCTCCCATGCTAAGCTGTGCTGGGGGGGCTGTGGGCAACCACGTCTTTTCCTGTGGTTTTGGGCTGCTGGGCATACTGGCGGTGCCCAAAAAATAAACACTGGCAGTATTGGAAGCTGGGATGACCAAAAGGTGACAGGATTCCATGGGTGCTCGAGCAGATATGTGCATGGGGCTGCAGGGCACAGCAACCTCTGCAGAGAATCATGGCTTATTGCTGCATGGCTTGTTTTTAGGCCAGGAAGGCTCAGCTCTACAGATGAAGGTGAAGGATAAATGTGCCCATCCTTCCTTGTGACCCCAAGGGCTGGCTCTTTGGAACTGGGTTTTCAAGGTCCTCCCGACAGCCATGGATCAGGAGAAGCGCCAAGATAGCCAAATGGGCCTGCTACTTCATGGTGCAGAGGCACCAGTGGCTCCAGCTCACCCCAGGCTGGTTGGACCCTGGTGCACTCAAATGCTTCTGCTAAGGAGGGGGAAGATGAAGGAGCAATGCCAGAGGACACTGCATCATGGCACACCCTGGAAGGTGCTAAGCCTCCAGAAGGAAAAGCCAGCCTGAAGAACCTTTTCCTCCCACTTTGGAGCAGGCAACAAGGACACAGGGCTTGGTCTGTTTTTGCAGGCCAGCAGGTTGTCCTTAAGTGGCTCATCAGGTAACAGCCTTCACAGGAATCCCCAGCCCTGACACTAGCCAGGTATGGAGCTCCCCCTGCAAAGGCCAGTCTGGCAAACAGAGAGCAGGTCCACCACCTTCCCATTCTGCAAACGCCCTTTCAACTAAGGCGAGAGGTCTCAAGCTGAGCAGCTCAAGCCCCAGTAACACTGAGCTCACCCACTCAGCCTGCAAACACAGCTCCAGAGCTGTCAGTCCCTCTTTCCCCAGCACAGCCCCAAGGACAGCAAGCTCCAGCCTGTGCAGCCAGCCCCAGGCAACAGCAGTCCCCTCTGAAATCACCTACTGGTGTCTGGGCCTTTTTAAAATCTCCCAGTACTGTAACCACATCCTATCAGCCCTTCCCAGCCAACAGCTGGGAAATGTGACCACAGAATTGAAGTCAGGGGAAAAAATTAAGAACAACTGCTCCAAAAAGCACATTTTGCGGTTATCTTAAAACTCAGATACAGGTTGAACTGTGTAAAGATTCACAAACCCAGGGAAGCAGAGT